GGTTGGCGATGTCTCTCGGACGATTGGTCTTGTGGCAGTACAAAGCTGTCAGCGTCGTCCTTGCGCTGCTTTAGGATGTGATGGCCTTGCAGAAGTGCGGTCGACGCCGCTGGTCGACGACAGACATGAGATTGGCGCCACTGTTTTTCCACGCCACCATGGAATCGCCCAGCTGATTCGAACGACTTGCATCCACTGTGGCTTGGTTCCATAGACGTGGAAAAGCAGCCTGTAGACGCTCGTTGTCAGTCTGTGGAAGGTTGTGCAGCACAGCCAAAGGGACAGTCTCCATCGCCTTTCGATGACACGCAGTCCTGGGCTACGCACAATACTCCTCACTTCCACTCCTTCTGCCACGGTGGCCGCGGCTCCGACGACGGCTGAAAGTTGCGCTGGGGTTTGTCTACCTTGGGCTGTCGACGTTCAGCACCTTCTCGTACCTCCAATCGCGAACTTGGCCTACATCTTGTACTGGACCACGTTCAACTTGACAGGCCATCACGCCATGATCGAGCGGTTGGCATTGAACAGCCCGCCCATGGATCCGACATGTGGATGACAGTGGATCAAGCATATCCAAAGATGAACATGTCGAACGCAATGGCAGTCACTCTGTCCAGCTCGACCATTGCCTCGAGGCTTCGTTTTGAAGCTATACGCGGTCTTCAGTCGTCGAGAGTCCGTATGGTATCGTGTAGATCACGAAGCACAACTGTTGGGTCGACGACCAGCGGCCTCGCCCATGGCCAACTCGTCCTGCTGACACACTCGATGCCTCAACCAAGTCGCAAACGGCGCCGTGTACTTTGAGACTGTCCTGCTGTCGTGGACAGGGAGGCGTATCTACCGTGCTGAGGTGGTGCCTTCGACGTCGCGGACCTGCGTTGTACGATCGAAGGACGAGGCTGGCTCGCCATGGCCCAGGTGACGCCCGTGCCAGTCGAGTTGACGTACCTGGGCAACGCCGGCAAGGAGCAACTTCTCCATGCAGTGGTAAAACAACTAAAACCATGGGGTTTGCCGACGGGTATCGGCAGCGGAACAACATGACGCAGTAGCAATCCAACGGCGTGGATCGCGCGGGGCTCCCCCCGTGCTTCGACGGTATGTCCTTGCGAAGCATGATTGCACCGTGGATGCCGTTTGGAGGCAACAAAGTCTTCCCAGAACGCCCCGGACATGATTCCATCATACTTGGGACGCAGGAACGGACTGGTGGCAGCCACACGTGCTTGACACGACATGGACACTATTCAGCCCAACGGTGGACTTCCTCCTGTCGACCCTTCTCGCTATGCAGGAGGGATGGTCCATGCTGCAGGCGGCTCCGCTTGCCTATCAACATGCATCCAACGGCGGCGAGTGCATCCAATATTACATTGTCGCGTCCTTGCCATTCGTGCACAAATACATGAGATCGGACGATCCAGTGCCAGCTTAGCCTTCGCGCGCCCGTGCCGACCCGGAGCTCCTCAACGTATCGGGTATCCCGTACGTCATCCACGCGGGCTCACCTCCCCACAACCACGCAGCACTTCACCCACTTCGACGTAAGAAATCCGACGCTTGACGTGTAGAGCGGAGTGATTGCGATGGAATGAGCGTTCAGCTTGAGCGAAGCTTTCCAGTTCCAACATTTTGAGACGTCACGTTGGTGACGAAAAACTGGCCGATCGCTTGCTCAATCACGATCGAGCAAGCGATGCAATTGCGCGCATTCGTCATATTGTTTGTGATGTACGCTCGAGGCACGGTGCAGTTCGTGGCAGTTATGGTGATGGTGGTTGCCGTCGTCGTCCTCGAGTACACAGACTCCAGGCACGGCCACAATGAAGGGTTCAACATCGTCGGAATCCGACGGCACCCGATTATCGGAGTCACCGCACTGTGCCGGCTCAGGTTCGCCGGTACCCTGGCACGGGTGCGCCACGAACGACACCATGGTCGAGCTGCAGTTCCAACGTCGCCGAGCCACGTGGCGCTTGTGTGCATTCTGAACGACCTCTGTTAGACCAAGCACGCGACGCTGCAGTACGTGCGACGAATAGCTTGCTGGTCTGCCTCGTCACGGCCGCCGTGAACGCTCGTTGTGATTTTAGTTTCATGATGTCTGGAGCCCCACAACAACTTCGATGCAATGGACATTTACATCGTGTGAGCCTCGCGGTCGGTCGTGATCGAGAGGGATGCTCTTGCTGGGTCTTATCGGAGTGGCTACCGTCGTGAGGTAAGTAGGTCCCCCCTTTCGCCGCCATCGCGATGGCGGCGCAGAGACGGGCGTCGTCCTGCCGCGCTTGCTCAGCTCGGGCGCACCTCTTCCGTCGACCTCGGTCGGTGCACAACAGCACGCATCGATCCCGCGTATGTGTTTCTGAAGGGCTTGGTGAGGTGCCGGCGGTTCATGAGTGTTCATGCGATAGACAATACGATCTACATCATCCGCTTGAGCGCCATCCAATGCCATCCTCCGAGGACCAAAGAATGGCGCGAACGGAGGATTCAATTGAATAAACGGCGACGTTGCGGGTAAGGTAAGGTAGGTTGTCGTGAGCTTCGTGATGCACGCTATGACATGTCGTAGGTGTCTTGTAATTGTTTCGTCTGACGTTGCTGTAGGTTGGGAATGGTGGCATGGTGTCCAGCGCTCAATCGAATTGACACGAGCCGTTCCTTGTAGGCATGCGGTGGCACATACCTCGTCGTTTAGCATGCAAAATGAGGTGGGGGATATTTTGGACGAATTCCTCTTGTTGACGTGCCCGCAGCCACGCCGTCTCGAAGTAGTTTGAATTCGATGTCTTTATGAGAATGGCACCGTTGTGATAGCGCAAGTAGATCCATACGGCGCGTCGTCGCTGGTTGATTGCACGGCGCCGACGGTGAAGTAGGAGGACCTTGCTGCGCATGCTGCATTGTTGTTTGATTTT